GACATCAATCACGAGTAGACGTAACAACGAAAACACTGTTAGTTTTGCCGCCGAATTATTAATTACATTCTCACAAAAAACTCACACACGACGCCGAAAAGCATAAATTTCTACCTTTTTCACCGCACAAAGGAGCCGTGCTCTACACAATATAGCGCTGAACAGATTAGCCTCCCGCGCCGACACGCTCGTCGCGGCATAATTTTTGGCGCCAGTAGTCCTACCTTCAGATTAAACTAATATGAAAAGGAAATTGACTAGAAAATGGACGGAGGCCTATGTGTCATTAAGGATTGGATACGCCGCTCGAAAGCGCCGGCCTACCTTTATTTATTTGACTTCGTTTAATTGAATTAGCATTTCGGTAGTTTTTATGAACTGTCAGTAATGGTCGGAACTAAACTTAATAGGCAATTTTTAGATAATAACAATAACCTTTATGTGACGGCTATTGCTTTATAAGTAATTTTATATTTTTAGTAATAATAGTAACTTATCAGTATAGTGAGGTAACCTGTAGAGACAGGCTTATGAGTTTCGTGACTTCTATAATATTATTTACAGAAGTTACCTATGCCTTACTGAGTAAGGAACAAGTTCTTGTAAATGCTACTAATTAAATAGATTCCAGAAACAATTTTGTTACTGAAATATTTATTACTAAATCATTTACAAAGAGGCAATTGATCAATTATTCACTATCCTGTGTAGGACTTGAATTCGTATTCAAAGGGAAAATATCAAGAAAATTTCGACATAATACTCCGATGGGACATGCGGTACGGTAGTTTGGGTCCACTCGACCCCGGACTCCATGAATAGTAATAGAGGTTAGGACTCCAGGGAGGGGTCCAGAGACTCAATCGCAGTTAATATGCCGCTTATGGTGCGTGCTAAATCGACAATACCCAGGGGTGCTCTCGACACGGAACCAATATATGGACCTATCCGGGTCGGTTTGTTCTTAAAATTAAACTTTATTATACCGTGAAAAACCGTGACCAGTTTCGTTTATTTTGTTCTTTTAAGGGTTTATTTTAAAGAAAGAAGTGAAATGTATCTAATCTATTTTATTTACAATGTTTGATTAAGTCATATTCTTCCTACTGAACTATGTACTGATTTGAAATCTATGCCTATATACACACGCAGATACCCACTCCAGTGACTTTTATAGGAATCAAGATTCCTTTAGAATGATAATAGAGTATAGTGAGTTAAGGTTATCAATCATATTTTTGTAAAGTGTTATCTTGTAATCACATGAATGTGTGTAGAATGGGATGATGTCTCAGTAGGAACAAAGCGTGATGTAAGCACTGCCTGCCGGCTGGACTCACATTCATGAGCAGGTCCGGAGAGGAGGTGCGGTTGCCGCTCATGGCGCCGGCGGTGGTGGCGCATGTCACACACTCACAACACTCGCGAGGCGCGGCGCAGGCGGCGCGGGCGGTCTGCGTGCGCCGAGCGACCGCGACTGCCGCGCGCCGGCCCCCACCGCACCACGCGAGCCCCCACCGCTACCGGCTGCCTCATTTCTCACTATAATTTGCGTGTTGCTTGTTTTTTACCATTATTACTCCCTCGTTTTGTTTTACGTATTATCGAGTGCATCCCGCTCGCACCGGCCGCCATGCGCGGCGAGCGCCGCCCAGATAATAGCCGCGTGCAATTACGCTGTGGCCGCGCGCCACCACCGTACCGCGGCGAACCGGGCTGTAATGCGAACCTGACTAAGTACACCCAGCGCCATCTCGTGACGAGCGGCACAACTAAAAGATGCCGAAACATTAAATACAATCGTAAACTACCGAAGCAGACTTTGTACGAAGTGGCTCTCAGTGTCATCAATTACAACCGCCAAGTAATTTGCTGTTTCACTTGAAGAAAAATAGAACAGTAAAGTTACAGGAGTAATGTCTAAATTAAATACCTTATCCTGACTGACAAGGCAGGAGTAGTAGATATAGTATGGGGCATCACATGGTAACGTGATGTCCGGTGTGCTATTCATATATATATGTGTGCGCAACAATTACCACTTACCATCAGGCAAGCCGTTGACGGTCATTCAAAACATGTAAAACATCTCATGATGAAACATGAGATGTTGTGTAATATAAAATCTATTATGTAACACAAATTAAAATGAGACCCCAAGACCTTCCAAGACTAATAAATTAAAACCTATTACTTATCTACCTTAATACAGTCAAGTCGCAATATATGTAGGTACATTACTAAGTAAATTCTATGGAAACCTGTCCCATTAATTACATTCCAGTTTATCGAATCATAAAAACATAATATCGTTAGCTTTTTTATGGTGAAACAGACTGACGCTGATTTTGAAAAACAATAAATTGATTATAAGTATAGGCGTTGTTGCTTTCAATAAGGAAAAATCGGCAGGTCATCACATACTATGATAATCAGAATATCTATATGGCTCGTGTTCCTGTAATACGTTTTAATATCGTCTATCCATATTTGTACAAACACAAGTGCTTCCGAACTGAAAAACTTTTATACGATGGTTTTACATTTTCAAAGATTGATCGCCCACCAATTCTTGCTGGAATTACTTTGGATTATATCGATCTTGAACTCGAATTCAAAAGCGTTCATGTAGGATATTTTACTAACATATCTATACAAGTAATTTTTTTATATTGCTTCTCAAACCGACCGTAGATCTTATCTCTTGGACACATATACTTATTCGAATATTATTAAGCAACGAATTTTGTTTTTTGTCTTTGAGAAGTGCATACAAAGTAATGGCCCACCTGATGGTAAGTGGTATCTGTCTTGATACACGTACGTCGCATACATGAACAACACCACGGACATAACGTTATCATGGTGATGCCCGTGTTACATTTGTAATAATGATGATAATAAACATTATATACTCAAAAGTCCTGACTCACATTCTGAAATTTCATTTGCCTTCAACTGAAACATACCTTACAAAGCTGCTTCCTGGCTGAAATAAGTGACAGTAAGATATGCAAGCAGACAACGTTTTTATAAAGTCTATATTAATAAATTAAACATATATTTACAGCAAAATACAAATGAAATTTTACATTATGATTATATTTGTTTATTTTACGAAGCAATTTTATCAGGAATCAAAAGGTGAAACGGAAACAATTTTAAATAGGCAACGACAAACTTGCATTTAGATGATACTATTTATGATTAATGGCTAAAAGGTTGCATCGACGCGATAGCTAATATCAGTCATGTGCAGTAAAGTTATAAACGTGGATGTATCAGTACTGTGCAAAGTTACAATATGCTACGCGCTTACTACACTAACGCTACGCTGCTACGAGCAAGTCCTTTATGTACTGTTAATATTAACTTATTATCATAACTAACAGTAATTATTCAAAATAAATAAGTCTACGTAAGTGTAAAGATATCTCTATACTATGTTTATCCAATTACATCCAATCCTGTATAGGGAGATTTTATTATATTGAATAGGCTACTTATAGGGAAGTAGCCTATTCAATATAATAATTCATCCGAGAATATAGACATTTCTTATAATCCCTACTTTCTAAAAGTAAGAAATCTAACGAAAATTTGAACATAACGAACAAATAGACTATTTGTTTCTAACAATTATTACAGTACTGTATATATAGTGCAATAAACTTGTACCTACGTAGTTTTGACATATATTGGTATATGATAAAGTTTGGTTAGAGATGATTTAATTTTTAAACTTTTATTTAATACACAATATTATATATTTATATAATATCTATGTTATTAACCGGGTCTGAAAACGAATAATTTTAATGGCAAATAAAGGTATTTCGACTAGGTCAGTCAGCTCGTGACCACGGCTATATTGTAGAAAGTCGAAAGTGGCAAATATCTTTATTTGCCATAAAGTCTTTTCGTGTTAAGACCCGGTTAATAATATAAATAAGAGATGATTTAAATTAAAATACTTATTCATGAAATAGTATGTATGTAAATAATTACATACATACTATTTCAGAGACAAGACTTTACTACTGATGGATTTTACTACAGTTAGTATCTATGTATATTTTTTCAATTGGGTTGAATAATAAAACGTATTTCAATAAAGCTCGAGACTCATGTTAGCATTTATTCCAGTAATAACTGTGTTTTTATTACAATACTTGAAGTAGATAATAAATAATTTGGATAGAGCTTTGTCGTTGCATGAGTGAATTCAATTGTGGACTGGATTCTGACCAGTGTAAAATTATTTATGCATAATTATTTTATTCTTCTTCTTTATTTTAAATGGCCACCAATAATTATCAATTTTCTAAGTAAAATATTATGTCATATTTTTATTTTGATTAGAGACGTATAAGGTGGTTGCACTATGACAGGCCATGATAAGGACAATTATTATAAAGACAACTTTTAATAATTGGCTATATGAGGAGCATGGCCTAAATGGCCCATAGTCTACCTATCTTAAATACAAATGTATACATATAGAATAAAAAATAAACTCATATTACACTATATTTCTAAACAATAGAAGACATATAAGATTTTGGAATTAAATGATGATAAAAAACATTATGAAGGTTCGCGTCATGAAATCCTATCAGACAGTTAATTAGTTTTAAGTGTGTATACTTATAAACGATACTACGATGCCATATGATGATGTACTTACTATCAATTAAATGTAGAAATTTATGCACTGACATAATATCAATAAATAATCATCGTATTTAGTATAATATTTATTACTAGAAGTTCAAAAGCAAGGGCATATTAATTTCATCATTAGTAATATTAAAAGTCATAGATATTTTGATACAACTTTCTTTATTTAAAAAAAAAGAAACAAACCTAGTTAAATAACATAAAAGGCACATGTACTCTTATATATACACAACATAATAATTCTTTTTAAAATCACCTTTATGGTAACTAAACAAACGGCTATAAACAAAACATAGTTTACATAACGCTAACATCGCTAACACCGATAGCAGTCACAAATTCTGTGCAAAAAGCGAATATCAGGAAAACTCACTATTCATTTGAAGTTGTATTAATAAACATGCACAGTTATGTAATAAAAGATATATTTTATATGTACTCATTGTCCCAGTGCAACAGGAGGCTGGAGATTATAATGTCCTTGGAATACAGCGTAGTTATCTTTTGTTGCACACTGGTATGTACTCAAATGAGTAGTCGGATATTGTTGATATACTCGGTGATCTCTCATGGGCGCGCGGGCATAGAAATCTTGCCGTACGTCAGGATACCATCCACTCATTACACCACCACCGAATGCCGCACTGTTGTACCCACTCGCCGCACTTGACACTACATTAGGAGCAACTGAGGCATAGTTAAGAGACATTTGTTTGGGAAAGCTTGCAACCTGTGGCACTGTTCCGTAGTTAGTACTACCAACTGACGTAGGAGGTGGGGATGGTTCGGTTCTCAATTGTGATTGTTCAGATTTCTCCGTCACTTTAGCCGGTTCGTCTTTATCATCTTCTTTCGCTTTCTTATTCTTCCTGGACACATTCGCATGAGTCTTGACATGTTTCGCGAGGTGATCCGACCTCATAAATCGTTTAGCACAAAGTTGACAAGAGAATCTTTTCTCGCCAGTGTGTGTCCTTAAATGCCGTTGAAGCTCGTCAGAGCGCGTAAATCGTTTGCCACAGAACAACCAATTGCAAACGAAGGGACGTTCTCCGGTGTGCCAACGAAGGTGAGCTTTAAGATGAGACGTCTTCCCGTACACTTTTCCACAGCCAGGTACATGGCATACGTGTTCTCTCTTTGCGCCATCTTTTCCATAATTGGGTCCGAAGCCAGCGGCTTCTGTGAGGCAGTTAGGACATCGGCATTTAGCACAACGACGCTGAAGTTCACGTGCTTCTTCTGTAGCGGCGGGAGCTGATGGCCAGTATGCCGGGTATTGGGGTGGATAAGGTGGTAATTCACGCCACGTAGGTGCTCCACACCAAGCGCCTGACGAAGCACTGCTACACGACGATAAATCCGATGCCGGCGATAGTGCGTCTCCTCGACCGTAGCCGCAGGAATATCCTCCCATCATATTCATCATCTGCAACAATTATGCATATTAAATACACATTTCATACTCATCTACAATTACATCTCCATACTTGTAAAAATAACAAGATGTTGTTCTAGTTTAGGTAATAGAGTTTAATAAAATAGACATTGAAATGAACAGTATTTCAAATTCAAACAAGAATAATAAAATGTAGTGATTATAACTTATTCCATAATATTTGACACAATTATCTATCAAATTGTCTTTTAATAGTGAAAAGTTGTGGGCGGGCGGACGGACCTGTTGAGCGGGCGGATCCACGTATTGCATTTCCGGCGAGTGTGGTGACAACGTAAACGCAACGAAACCGTCAACTGGATAATTACAGGGCGGCACTCCGCTCACGCCGAGACGTTTTTAATAACTGGCTTGGAATAGACGTAACGAGCGGTTGTCACCTCGTCCCGGCCCCGCTCCACCGCCTGAGGGTCCCAAGAGCTGCGCGCGCGCACCCAGACCCCCCTCCCTCCGAGCACCGGCGCAGCCTTCGAGATACCCCACCCCGATCCGTGAATTATGAGCTTACGAGCTTTACCTCGTAAGAGAACGAGAACTCCCGAGCGGGACAGCCGTAATACCGAAAGGTTATGTTTACATTGCCCGCCTTAAAATTAAGAGGTGGTACTATTATTTATTTCAATTGACGGTTAAAGTCAAAGATTACACGTGTCTTAAATGGATATTATATAGTAAAATTAAACAGTATTTCAGCGAACATATAAATTATATTTTCGTAGTATTTGACAGCTCATTATGAGCATTCTACAACAAATTAACGCAAGTTTATTGTAATGTATGTATGGTATACATATGTAACATACTAATTGACAAAAATATAAAATGAAATCTACTTGTAGCGAGTACCTTTGAAAAACTTGTAGGTATTTACTTATTGGGTAGGTACGTACTAATCATGGCAATGTGGAAGATTTACTAACAATACCTAGTAGGTACTATATCTATGTTATTGTAAACAAAGTGACGACGTTGTAAACGAAGTTATATTAAATCCTCTCTTTGTAGAAGTAGAACCGACCAAATATATTATTGTTGTTGGCCCTAGACATATACGTATATATATACTTTGTTGACTTAGACATATATGAAAGTTAAAAAAATAATCTGTTAATATAGGAAAATTTATAATACAAACATGTGTCACGTACCTAAAGGTAAAAATATCTATATTTTATATATATCAAAAAAAAAAAATTGAGCATATTAGATACATTAATATAATTTTTAATCTACGTGATCAGATACGATATAATCTCTCAACTACTAAGAGCACCTATCGATATTATTTTTATGTATCCAAGTCCGGAGCGCTTAATGTTTTTAATTTTTTCTCTATTTCGGTCGGCAGTTCGCGGCGGACTCATGATTTATGCATATTCGAGCGGAGCCAAACCTTTAATTACATGTTGTTAAAATATGGCAGTTTGTTATATCGTTCCCGTGCTTTTGTTTTACTAAATGCCGCTCTCTCTAAAGAGAACTAACTACGTTTCCTTTCCCTCACGACCAATCATAATTTGTTTTTATTTCTATAATTACCCATACATCTGACAACCGATGATCTTATTTACAGGAACAGAAATGAATGATTTTTTAAGTACTTCAATTATAATAGTAATACATTAGTTGTACTATAAGATATTACTCTTATTACCTATAATTATATTAATAATTTTCAATATAAATATAAATAGCCGTCATTTAAAAAAATGATTAAAATAATACTCGCAATAGACCTCACAGATTGCGATTATTATTTTAATATTTTTTTTACTTTACAAAAAACTATGATATACTTAATACCAATAATTATTTTCAATGATGATATAACGACAATTAGCACAAATCGCTGCATTAACATAGGTGACCAGCTATAGATATACAATTTTCAAATTCAAATTTGCTACAACAAAGTAATTAATCTTAAAATTTATTTAGTTTATTTTAATTTTATTTCATATTACACTTTTACTGTAGAAGATATGACATCTACAAGGAAACAGAGAACATATTTACAAAATTTTCGAAACTTATATTAAATAAATTATCATTAATTAATTCATTTTTCTATTGTCTAACTAAATCATGACGCAAATTAGCTACGTAGGTAGCTATATTACAGTTTCAAATGTTTTCTGACACACCTACACAGATTCACCAATAACAACAACAACTGTACGTGAATTTAAATTGAATCGACTACACTTGTTCAAAGTCATTGTGTATTGGAACAATATTATTTCTAGGAATCACAGTGCTACCGTTAAAGATAAAAACGCTAACCTGTCGACATGTTTACGACTTGATAGAACAAAAGTTCGTCACTGGATACATAATGTAGGTAGTACAAGGAGCTACTGTAGCCTAGTCGGCGTCCATTTGATCACAAAGGCCACATGCAGTGGACAACAGTTGCTACTAATGCGCTATGATCGTTCGACTCACGCCATAAATCTTGACGGCTACCAATTTTTTCTCACCAGCCCACATTCAAATTTAAAAATATAAAAGAGAAGAGCTTTAAAACTGTAAAAAAAATGTACTAAGCATGGAGAAAGGTCCTCTTTACGAGATGAATTTATCGATTTTTATTGAATATTCACTTAAGTTTGCTTTGAAATTATCTAAAAAACAGAAGTAGTCGGAGGCATCTAGAATAAAGGTATTTAAGTAAATAGTTTTGAAAAATCCAATAGTTTTTAACATTGGCCTCGTAATTATTTATATCTTTTTTGAAACTATAACACGATACCTATACAAATCAAAAGCTATATTGGATCGGCAAGCACACTAGGCGATAAAAAGCGCTCCACAACACTTCTCCAATATTGTGTTAGTTATACCAATTAATCAGTAAGTATAAAATAAGTTATTATTAGCATTCGTCGTTTTTACAAAAATAAAAATACTAGATCCAATTTAGTTGCGGGTTGCAACAAAATGGCACTATTGGGAGACATTCCTAAAATGTTTTAGGTAATTGTTAATGTAGTATAGGTACTGTAATTATGTACCTATATTGTCATTACTAACCTGACACAATATAAACTTACATAAAATATTAAAAACAGTCAATAAACTTTATAATGAATGGTCAATTTTCAATACCAATCAAAAAGCTTTCGTTTTAGTACCAGGGATATTTTACACTAATTATGGGTTTCCTATATCATGGGCGGGTAATTGGGCTTTATCGCACGTTGTCCTTCACTTCCTGTCTTTTGGGCGTACTCATGAATGGTTATAGTACTTTATGGATACCGCCATGGTGTCAAGTTGCATCTATTGTAGCACTGCAGCCAACGTGGCACCCACGCATTCTATAGTAAGTAAATCGTGTGTATAACCTTCCTGTGAAATGTTGAAGAGTTTGACACAGGGTTGCCAACCGTATGTGGTTCCTCGTACAAAACAAATACGAGAGTTTGGCTATTTAGTACGAGCACATTTTTACCCTCATTCAACTTTGTACGAGATCTTGACCTACGAAAATCGGAAAATATTATGACTTGAAGTAAGATTCTATAAGATTTTTGTTTTCGTCATATGAGGCGAAGGAAATGAGGAGTAGGTATTTTGAAAGCTTAAAAGTTGGCAGTTAAAACAGTTTAGTTATACAAAACTTTTTTAAAAATCACAACCACCCACAAACATCATCAAAATCCCATAATATTTGCATCCATAAACGACGGTTACCAATTTCCATCACTTAACCGCCATCTTGCCATCTCTTGTTGGTCGAATTGTAGAAAATGATACCTTATAAGATAGTAAAAATTACTACGTAGGTATATGATTCCGTTGTCTGTACCAAAATCAAAATCTTTGGAATTTTAACAGTGATAAGAAAATATAGATACTATATAATAAATTGATTATAGGTACCTATTAGCAAATATTAAGACCTATTTATAATTAGCAATATCTACAGGGAATATTATAAAAATATTTCCTTCACCGGAAAGTTAGTCAGTCAAAACTATAAATCTATAAACAGAGATTTTTTATTAGCTAGATTAAAACCCACGACCTTTTAGTGTGAGTGTGAGTCGTGCCCACTGAACAATCAGCTCTCATACACGGCTATCTATTATACATATCAACATATCTAAATATATATAACTCAAAGGTGACTGACATAGTTATCTATCAACGCACAGCCCAAACCACTGCAGGGATCGGGCTGAAATTTGGCATGCAGGTAGATTTATGACGTAGGAATCCGCTAAGAAAGGATTTTGATTCATTCTACCCCCAAGGGTATAAAATAGGGGATGAAAGTTTGTAAGAAACTTTGTCAATTTAAACCGATCGGGCTGAGACTTTGCATGCATAAAGCTACTATGACGTAGACGTAGTTAAGAAAGAATTTGATAAATTCCACCCCTAAAGGGATAATTTAACGCGAGCGAAGCCGCGGGCAAAAGCTAGTTTCTTATAAACTTCTTTATTTGAGAATCAACCGAGTCTCTAAAAAAGTTACATTTGTGACATTTGCACATTGAGGGTATTGTTAGTTTTGTAACGTGATATTTTGCGTCTACAAAAGAGGTAAAAAAACTCAAATGTAACGTGAAGGAACTTGAAATTAGTATTGTATAACTCAAACGATTAGTGTTATCTGATCGGAACTGATGCTGTAAAGGAGTGAATATCGGGATGTAGCTATTGTCACGGCTGTACGGTGTAATAAGATCTCCAATGTACCTGTTTCGCACAAAAGACACACAGGTTCGCACCAATCCAACTTTACTATAGTATGGTATACCAGTATTTTTTTAATATTCGCTGTTGCTTTTTTTTTAATAGTCGCTGAGATCAGCGTGACAATTTTGTAACCAATTTCAAAATGGAGATTTTTAAATCGACTGTATATGTGTATAATGTAGATACATATTAATATTTACTTAGAGTCACGTGGGGCAAGTGTGCGCAGCGACCTAAGTGTACGCACTCGAAGTATTTCAAAAACGGTTTATAGGTACGAACTGATAACACCCCTCCTCATTAGCGCACAAAAGGCTATACTTAGTGCAACTTTTTCACTGTCCGCCGGTGAACCATTTTGTTTCCGTAAGTGAGTATTGTTTTTTGTTTGAATTATTGCGATTTTTGTCTTAAATGAGAGACTCATTCCTTTGTAATATATTTATATTTTGAAGTTATGCTTTATACCATCGAACAGTACATTTTATGTAATATAAGCCGTGTTTAATCTTTTGGTGATGACGATTACGTAATATTGCTCAGTTCTGGTTAAATTTTATTTTGATGGTTTGGGGCAAGTGTGCGCATACGAATGTCGGGAAAGAGTGCGCATGCGAATACTTACCCCGCTCCGCTTTGGCTTTGTATTTATGATGCAA